GGGGACCACCGTGCTTTCCAGAGCACGCGTCCTCAGGACACCTCATTTCCCGGCGGTGCAGGCCACGGGGCAGGGGACCACCAGCCCGCACAAGCAGACGCAGCGAAGCCACCAGCTGTGTGCTCCGTGAGCCTGGGGTTCTGCCCGATGCCCGCGGAGTGCACGCGCGGACCGGGTTCACATGCTTCCTTTTTCCCCAAGCACCATATTTCCTCCCAAGGCCATTGTATATAAATGATCTCCTCTTAACATTTTAATCAATTCCATCTTTTGGCAATCGATTTCAAAGCGGTTTTCAGCAAAGGCTATATTTGGAGTTCTGAGAGACGCTGAAGTGATTTCCCTTCGCGAACACCAACCACTTCGGAGCGGTGTTTATCGACACATCAAACCGTGTGGTTGTAACGGAGGGCACGGGAGGGCCTTGCGGTGAACGCGAGCTGCCCGTGTGCGACATCGGTATGAGAGATCGATAACTAGCCTTCCAGATTCAGTCAACCCACGAAAGCCCTTCCCCGATGGCTACAACGAACGATCCAAGTTTTCTGGAACGTGTACTGAGCAGCCCCTTAACTAAAAGCTTCCGCACCGTCTTGCAACCTATTTCTGGTTTGGACAGAGCCCAGAGGAATCGAATCAACCTGTTTCTATGACAGAGAGAAGTCCTCGCTTTGAAAGGCCACCTCTCTCCATAAGCAGGCGCACCCGGGCCCGAGGGCCGCGGAGACCGGCGCCCGCCGCTCCGCCTTACCTGCCTGGCTGTCCTTGGGCCTGCACTGCACCTCCTCCACGCACTCGGCGGGGAACCATCCGATGTGGCCGCGGGCGCTGCCTTCCCAGAAGCCTCCTTCACCGATGCTCAGAACTAGAGGCAAGAGGGGGAAGCCGTTAGCAGGCGGACTCGAGGGGCCTGGGGGTAAGCACGAAGAGGGGATGGTGAGAGCGCGGAGCCGTCCCCCAAGCCTGCACAGCCAGCAGCTCTGGTCCATCTGCCGGCCGTCCACACTTCCTTCAACTGTGGACGAGGGGACCCGGTGCAGTGTCCCTCGGAGAGGACAGTGACGAGGGCGTGGACGCTGGGATCCCCAGGTCTCTTCTGCCCTTAGCATGCAAGTGCCGGCCTCCTGGCATCTTTATCTGACCCCACAAGTCCTGTGACTACTCTGTCCCCCGTCTTGGTGTCCCAGTTGAGATGGCGGAGGGGAACTGCAAGTCGCCACCATCAATCATGTCATGTGTCACAGCAGCGGGGCAGGTCTCCTCCACGGATGGAAGGAACGATGAAGTCACGCATGCCCCTTCCCAGCTGGGGAAGGGGTCCAAGGGTCTGCCTGATCTTTTAGACCAGTTTGGGGAAAGACAACTGACAGCAGGAGATGGAAGAGCAGTGAGGGGCCGTGTGCCAACCCCGCGCTCTGTCTGGCCTCGAGGCGAGGAGCTCTAGGGGAAGGGGGGCCGCTGGAGCCCTGCACCTGCCCATCCCCTCAGAGACAAGGGTGGTGGGCCTGTCCACGGGGGCCACTCTGCACCATAGAAATGGGAAGACATTTCTTGAAGCCTTTCCTCCAAAATTCGATGCTGCCCCTTATACCCCAAGTAGCCCAGGCGGGGAGATGCACGCAGCTTCCCCCAAGAATCCGGACCTGAGAGGGTCACCCCAGACGGAGTGCTGCCTGGCAGCAAAGGGAGGCCAGGCACCTGCCCATGTGCTGGATGGGCCGAAGCCACACGTCTATCCACGTGACACACAGGAAGCTTCTTAGCCCCCCATGCCTCGGTTCCCTCACGTGTTGGAGCGGGATACTAATCATAGCGCTACCGTGTGCGCGGCAGACACACAGAACTCCGTGTGGCACTCCTTCCCCGCTCACGGCTTCTCTCCAGACGGCCCGTCGGGGAGTCAGGGAGGACACACCACGGTTTCGTGTTTGATGGGCACCGTTATTCCGAGAGCAGCGGAAGAGAGGGAAGGCTGAGGGGCCCTGCCCACCGGGTCAGTTTCAGCTCCGTTAGGAGAGGGGGACCCAGCAGGCTGTGTGCTGGATGCGGGGAGAGGCCGGGGGCGGGCCCGGGACATCCTCTGTGCCTGGTGAGCAAGCGCTAGCCGGCAGCCCTCTTGGCAGAGGAGGGAGGAGCAGGGGCACACATGAGGGGGTGTGCGTGGGACTCTGGGTACCATCTGGAACATGCTACTATGTTTTAGGCCGTCGGCAAGACGGGCCCTCTGCCCTTAGGGAGCTGCGAGCGAGTCCTACAACCGTGTATGCTGCTGGGCCACCGGCCACACATCGGGCTTGCACGCTTGGGCTGTTGTCTACCCCCCTCCCCAGGGCACACCTGTGTCCAGGTGGGAAAGTGTGTTCCTTGTAAGCGAAGAGGGAGCTAGGTTGGGCTCACCCATAAACTGCTGATTTAAGGCACTGAAAAGTAGACCGAGAACGAACCCAGTATCCACTCGCCCTACACAAGCCCACACGCTTCGAGGCCACAGCTGAAGCAACGTGGTCGGAAGAGGTGCCCGTCCAGCTGACCACTAACTGGCTACTCCTCCGGGCCTCTCCCCTCCAGAGATACCCGGCCCTGCCTTGTACACTGGGAACCAGTAAGTAGTGGTGTTGGCTTGGCTGTATGGTCACCAGGCTTGGGCAGGACCCTCACTGCACGAGGCCCCACCCCCTCTGCAAGCTCCGCCCCACCCCTGCCTGCGTCACTGAGGAAGGACCTACCTGAGTGCCAGGAGCAAGCCCCTGGGCAGGGACTGCCTGAGTGGCAGGGTTCCCTGTTCTGTGCTGAGCCCCCTGTAGGCCATTTGAATTTTAAGCCATCCTGGGCTTTCCTCCACATAAGCATCACAAGGGGGATCAAGAGTAAGCACACCCCTGTGCCCAGGGAACCCACATTTAGGGAGAGGTGTGTTGAGCTATGCTTTCCCAGATGCACGGGCTCAGCGGTTCACTGGGAACATGAAGACCCCCCTCCACAGCCGAGCAGCTAATATGTGAATACAGTGAGAGTCAGGGCCCAGCCAGGGAGCTGGGGGTTATCAGCAGGACCCCACCCCCCTGGAGGCGGTGAGCTGGGTTTCTCCGGAAATCCTCCCCCGATTTCCTGCCCCTGCCCACCGGGCAGCCAGGCCTCCTACCTCTGCTATGTACGTTGAGATCCAGGGAGGACAATTCCCTTGGCTCACCTCTGCTGCCCGTCTCCAAGAGCCGCCAGCCAGCCAGGCAGGATGCCAGGGCCGCACAGTATGGCCGGGAGGGAAGGAGGCCCCAGCCCACCATCATGGGCTCCGAGGCAACTGCGAGTGACCCACAAGGCCCACCCAGCGGTCTTCAGACGAGAAGTCCTTTGCATCCGCCCTTTGCGGTGCAAGTCTGGGACCTGATTTCCAACATTTCTGTTCTCCGTGGGGGACTGGCCCAGCTCCCCGCACAGCCTGCTCTCCTGCAGCCAGGGGTGGGCCCCAGCCTGGGACGATGCCCGAGGACACATGCGGAGAGGGGCAGATCCCCTTGTACCATCACCCACAGGGCTCCTGCCTGGCCCCGGACCCCTCTGCGGCGGCTCGGGTCCACACCTCTGCCTTGAGCCACCTTCCCTCCGCCCCTGGCCTCCCCTCATCCAGGCCGCAGACTTAGGGTCTCCTGTGATTCCACCTTTCACTGCCCACCCCCATGGCCCCCCTACCCCTCTGACCTGAAGCCCCCTCCTCTCACTACACTTCTGTTTCCCATCCATGTCCAAGGGGACACAGGCTGGGAAGAGAACAGAGCCCAGGGCTTGGCTGGGAGCCGCCCTTCCCTGCAAGAGTGGTCGGTCCATCTCCCTGTGCTGACTCCCACTAGAAACCTGCCCCTGCAGACTTGATGGTGGAGCCTGGCGGGACCTCTGGGAGCCTTCAACCCCCACCCCAGAACACCCTCCTTGGGCCTCCAACAAGCTCAGAGAGGGACTCCGTGCAGGCCGGATGCACAGGCCGCTGGCCCCCCTGGGCCTCCAGTTTCCCTCCCCAGCACGGGGGCCTCAGTCCCAGCCACCTGCCCACCCGGTCTCAGCTCTCGTCACCCCACAGCGTGGGACCAGCCTCGGGGGCCAGTCTGTGGTCAGCCCCACGGAGCCCGTGGTGGGCTTCTCTGTCCCGAACCAGGCACGGCTGGGAGGAAGGGGGTGCTTGTGGCGTCCATGACCCAAATCAGAGACCGTGATCGAGACTCACCCAGGTGGACGGCAGGAACGCTAGCGCCTCGATGGAGACCCAGCTAGAGACTCCTGTCAACTGGCATGCGGTACGGGGATGCGTGCACTCACTCCCACACCCGCACACACGTGTGCACACAGGCACACCCCACCTTGGCTGCGTCTCCGAGGATCAACACGGAGACAACCCTCCCACCTTCTGGATTCTTGCTTGTGCAAGCCGGATCTGTAGGCCACACATGCTCCTCAGTCAGAGCTCCCACAGGACAAGTCGGCCGAAGTGGGGAGCACTAAGGACAGCCTCGAAGGACCCCACACTTGGGAGTCTGAGTGCTGCCAGTGAGGCGCGTGTGACTGTCCCTTTCCCAGGGCCCCAGCGTAGTGGACGCTTGGTGCCCTAATTGAGACACCTTCCCCAGGAGACGCACCGTCCCTCAGCTGTTGTGAAAAAGGCTGCCAAAGGCTCATGGCCGACCCCTCTCCACTGAGCTTCCTTCCGGACATGGGAGCCAGCCAGCCTAGCAGGTTATGCCCCGCTTCCCAGGGACTAAGCCAGGACATGGGGTGCCCTCATGTCACATCTGGGTCCGAGCTCCTGCCCCCTTACTGGCCCCAGCACTGCTCTGGGGACAGCCAGTGTTCAGTGAGAGGGAGCTGGGGGAATGAATGACCTCCTCCTTCCAGAGCAGAGCATGCTGGCTGACCGCTGGGTGTCCAGACGGGAACACACTGGGGAGAGAGTAAATCTGCCTCTCGTCTCTCTCCGAGACACGTCGCAACCACAAACATGGGCACAGCCAGGTAAAGCTGGTAGCAACAGACCACGGAGGGAGCAGTCGGGACAGACAAAGCAAGGGGTGGGGGGACAGCATGGGCTTGGAGTCCAGGCCAACTAGAAGTGGAGTCCCCAGCCCCCCAGTCATCAGCTGCGGGAGACTGGGAGGTCTTCACCAGAGTTACCATGTCTGCGGAAGACAGGTGCTTGGGCTGAATCGTGCCCCCAAATTATTCTATGTTGGAGCCCTGACCCCGAGCACCTCAGAATGGGGCTCCATTTGGAGCTGGGGTCATTAAAGAGGTGATCAAGGTAACATGAGGTCACCGGGGTGGCCCTGATCGATCCCATGTGACCAGGGTCTTACAAGAAGAGGGGATCAGGACACAGACCCGCATGGTGGGATGATCCCGTGAGGTCACAGGGGGAGGATAGCTGTCTGAAACCTGCATCTTGGGCGTCAGCCTCCGGGACTGGGAGACAGTGAATCCTACTGTTCAAGCCCCCCAGACTGAGGGACTCTGCGATGACCACCTGAGCACACCCACGCCTTTGGCCCATAGCTGCTATGAGGTTCATGCAAAACCGTATGCGAAACATCCGGTAGTATGTGTAGTAAACAGTAGGTGCTCACTGATGAGTCTCCACCTTCGTCTGCTCCTGTCACTGTCTCTGACATACGGAGCCCCCAGGTACGAAGTGGCCAGCAAGTATCACTGGCAGGCTCCATGGGGTCAACCAGCATGGCCTGAAGCTCCACGTGGGTCTTGGGGTGCGGGGCGCTGTGGGCCCGCGTGGAATGAAAGTCTGGGGCTGTGGGCCGACGGCTTAGCCAATTTCAGAGTGGGGCTGGGCAGGGAGACCCGGGTGGTGTGTTGGGGGCCGCGGGGGGCAGTGGGTGGGGTGCACACAGACATGAGAGCAGGCCCCAGGGGGTGGTGCTTTGTCTTCACACGAGCCGCCGGCCTCCCAGGGCTCAGGGGCTGACCGCACATCACCGCCCAATGGTAATCAGAGCTCTTGCATGCAGCAGGTCCGGGGGGGCCTGCCCTTCCCAGCCTTCTCAGAATAGCAGCTCTCCGGGGGGCAGGGGGGAGGCAGGGAGGGGCCTCGAGGCCTGGCCTGCCAGCTCTGTCAGGAGCGGGGCGTCCCCGGGGCCCCTCCAGGACTCCATCCGCAGCCGTGGAACAGGGGTCATACCAGAAAGATGCACGGCCTCGGCAGCAGCAAAAACATTTCTGTCGTTCTGCCTGGGGCCCCGTGTGAGCGCCATGGCGGGGCCGCCAGCCACCCCGTCTGCAGACGCAGCGTCCTTGTCGTGGGGACGACCGGGAACTGCTCACACGTCCGGGAGAAAGTCTACCCTGCGATGCCTTCTGGGACTGAAGTTTAAAATTGCAGGTGGTGTGAATTTCTACATTTATAACCTGAATGTTACTAATGTGAAAGGTGACAAGAATATCGCAGTAAAGTTGACAGGGACTTGAACTTATAGGTGTGATGGGACGTGGCCCCCCCGGACACCCCAAAAGGCAGCTGTACCCCGTGTGCAGTGGGAAAGGTGCCGGAATGTGCGGAGAGGCAGCCAGGCCTGGTGGGACGCCTGGGGGCCTGTGGGAAGGGAGCTGGGCCAAAGAGCCCCTCTCCACAGCCGGGAGCCTGCACCCTGTCCACAAGGCAGGGCTGTGGGGGAGGGGGGGAAGGGAGGGGCCCGAGGGGAAAACCCTCAGTCTGAGCAGCCTGAAGAACCAGAAAGATGAAGCCAGGAGAAAGCATGCACCCCGGAAACCGGGGGTGTCCCCACCCGGGAAGGAGCCCGAGAGGGGCCGCAGACAGCCTCGTCACATCCCCAACTGTGCACAGAACAAGCACGGAGCAGCTCAGCTCAGCTGAGCTCCAGATCTGAGCTGGCCCGGAGCGGTCACCCAGGCAACCCACCCAAGTGGAAGAAATGCCCACAACTTAACCCGCCTGACATCCACGACACCATAGAAGATCACGAGACACACGAAGACCCTGTTCTCGCGAGAGGGGAGGAAACTGAGCAAGCCCAGCCCAAGGTGGCCTTGACCGCAGACTGCAGGTGGGGGCCTCGGCGTGCCGAACACACCACACCAGGGACCTAACACAGCATGTGCTTTCAGCAAGCGAGAAAACCCAACAGGGTAACAGGAAGTCTCACGTAAAAAGAAATGATTTAAAAAAAAAAACACCAAAACATGTAGAAACTCTAGAGTTTGAAGGTGTGACTTCGGAAATTAAAAAATGCACAAGACGGACTTAACAGTGAAGGGAACATTTCAGAAGAAAGGGTATTGGAAATAGATCAATAGAAGCAATCGAAGGCGAAGAAAAATGTTGGAACGAACATGGAGCCCCTGGGACTTGCACCTGCTACCAGATGGCCAACTCTGCGCGCACCTGGACGACCAGAGGAGCCGAGGGAGAACAGGGCTCCATCTGTCATCAGAAACTTGCAAATCCCAGCTGAGGTCAGCCAGATTCGTGCAGGGCACAGACGAGGGCGCTGGGTTACGAGCCAGTGCAGGCCTGTTGGTGACAAGGCGGGGCAGGCAGGATGTGGCCCTGGCCTGTCGACCTCTAAGGGGCGTACTGTTTATCACCTGCCGTGTGTCTTCTGAAAGCCTGTCCTCCATGACAGGGCGTACCACATGGCTGGGGATGCGTAGTGTGCCCTTTCTTACTCTACCTGGAGAGTTCAGCTGCTCCCACGTGGCCTGCAGCCCACACCTGCTGCTTTTCTACTTCCTCCCCACGGCCTCAACACCACAGCCGGCCTCCTGCATCGGCTCTAATTATACCCATCTTCCCAAATGGCCTCACATACCTGATTTCCCTACTCAGAAATCATCGCTGGCTCCCCAGTACCCCGGGAACAAAGCCTAACTCCTTGACCTGGCATTATTGGAGGCCTTCCATGCTTTTCAACCACACTTCCCAGGATTCTGCTTTGGGAATCATTCCCTCCAACCTGGTGGACTTCCTTCCAGGAACGCTGGAGGCCTCCGGGCTGTGCTGGACCATCCCCTAGACACCCCTCCCTGACTCCTGAGAAGACATGTCCAAATCTGACCTGTGCCAGGCCCCGTCCCCATCCCACGTCTTCCCGGGACCCTCAGGGCTTTTCTAGGTGGAAAGGAGCTCTGCCCCTTCCCCTGCACTTCCTGCAATGGAATCTCATCCCCAACATGCATGTGCTGCTTCCCTAACAGACACCAGGATGGCCGGCGAGCCCAGTCTGCTCCCCGTTCTGCCTGCCCAGGCTCCAGACGTCCCACAGGGGCCCCGGGAAACAAGGCTCCGACACCGAAACCCCAACAGAGGGTCACCTGAGGTGGAGGGGGCCAGGACTGACCCTGCCCCGGAAGTGGGGTGGACACTGACCTTTGACCCTGTCGCCGCGGTGGAGGGGGATCTCGCCGTCGACCTGAGGGTGGTATGGCTTGACAACGACGAAGAGCCTCCCCGGGACCGCACTGTAGAGCTTCCGCTTGGGCTCCGGGTACTCAAAGGCGGACAGCGTGTCCTTGCTGGCACCAGGCAGGAAAGCCGGCCTGAGGGGGAGGGGCAGAGAGAGACCGAGAGGGTCACGGCCTGAGACAGGGCACATCACACTCCAGGCCCGCGGCCGATCTGTTCATGGCCAAGCCGTGGCGCTAGCTGTCCCGTGGGAGCTCCTGACTCTAGACAGAACAAGGACATGAAAATGCCCGGGGGCAGCGTCCGGGGTTAAGAGACTCAGGTGGTTCCAGCAAATGCACTTCTGGGAACACACCCATGTTTGCACACCCTGTCCACAGCGGCTTTGCTCACAACAGCCCAGAGATGGAAACGAGCTGAGTCCCCATCCAGGGATGAACAGATAAACAGTGTGGTCCATCCACACAGTGGACTACTATGCAGCCGTAAAAAGGAAGGACATTCTGACACCTGCTAAACGTGGACCAACCCCGAGGACATTACACTCAGTGAAAGAAGCCAGTCAGAAAAGGCAAGTGTTCCTGGTATGATTCCATTGATTGCAGGTGCCTGGAGTTGTCACGTTCCTAAGTGGGACAGTGGGCGCAGGGGCGGGATGGGGGTCAGTGACTCAGGGGGACAGAGAGTGGACGGTGGGCGCCGGGGCCAGGGAAAGGATGGGGGTCGGTGACTCAGGGACAGAGAGTGGACGGTGGGCACCGGGGCCAGGGGAGGGATGGGTGTCGGTGACTCGGGGACGCAGAGAGCAGATGGTGGGCACCGGGGCCAGGGAAGGGATGGGGGTCGGTGACTCGGGGACGGAGAGTAGACGGTGGGCACTGGGGTGGGGGGAGGGATAGGGGTCAGTGACTCAGGGGGACAGAGTTTCCCTTTGGGAAGATGTGAAGTTCAGGAGGCGGACGGTAGGGACGGCTGCATAACAGTGTGAATGTGCTTAATGCCACAGAATTCTGTCCTCAAACACAGTTAAGGTGGTAAATTGTATGTTATGTGCACTTTAACACAGGGGGCACCTGGGTGGCTCAGTCAGTTAAGCATCTGAGTCTTGACCTCGGCTCAGGTCAGGACCTCAGGGTCAGGAGACAGAGCCCAGCATCGGGCTCTGCGCTCAGCGGGGAATCTGCTTGGGATTCTCTCCCTCTGCCCCTCCCCCCTTTCCCACCCACTCACACGCACACCCATTCTCTCTCTTTCTCAAATAAATAAATCTTTAAAAAAAAAAGAAAAATCAAAGACCCTAGCAATGCAGAAATCGAGGCAGACCTGGTCTCTTGACATTTTATCTCCTCCACCATGTGCACCAGCCACTCCGGATGAGGAAACCCCACTGTCCGAGAAGAGCTTTCACAATCACACGAGCCACCGCCCCAGCCGCCCTGCGGACTTCTCAGCAGACGCGGGGCTGCCTTCTTGCTTTCCGTTATTTAACAAAGAGCAAACGTTCCCATGCCCACGTCCAGGCCCGACAGTGAGACATGCCCCAGCCAGCCCCACGTGGGGCTATGCGTGCTCAAGGGGCAGGCTCACAGAGAAATGGGCCACGTGGTTTCCGGGATGACATCCCCACACCAATGCACCAGGAGGCCAGAGCTGACCATGTCCAGTGGGGGAAAGAGAGCATGCCCACCCCTGTTCTAACCAGGGACAGGCCCAGGTGTCACACTGGCTCGTCTTCCTGGGAGGGGGCTTTCTAAAACGCATGTGGATGAAAGTGGGCAGGAATTCCAACCTGGGGAACCACACCGGCGTCTCAGGAGGGGCCCACTTGTGTCAGAAACTCATGGCCACGAAGGACAGGGTCCCCAGCTACGGATCTCCTCTCACCCACAGATCCTGTGGCCCAGGAGCCCACGGACGGGGCCTCGAGCATTCTGCGAGGAAGAAGTTCTCACCCGTGGGCAGGAACTGCTGCGGACGGGCTTGCAGGGAGAATTCCAGAAGCTGATGTGAACCCTCCAAGTTCTGTTGGTCCCGTGCTTTACTCAGATCTGTACCCCCGATCAATGACGCCTGGTTTGCTTGTAGAAGCTCACAGAGTATGACCGTGCTGTGTTCTGTACTCCCGACTTTCTCACTCACCGTCACAACTTGGGGAGCCAGCCAGGGAAGCCCACGTCCACACATGCGAAGCCGGAGGCTGTGACACACTCAGTGTCTACCCGCATGTATACTAACACGGTGTGGAGAAGGACTGACCCCAGTGGCCAGAGCCCACCCAAACCCACATGGGGCAGAGGGTGGACAGGAACCTGGGTTGGTCACGTGAGCTTTCCTGGGTGCCCACCAGGGCTCAGAGACAGAGGTCCTCTGTCCTCATGCTCTCCTATCCCCAGAGATGCCATTCCTCCCCCAGAGCCTTCTTTAACCAAGTTTAAGCCACAGACAGAGGTCACAGAATCCTGCTGGCCCAGGTGGCCTTGCCCAGTGGCCCCACATGACCTCCTTGTTCAACCTCTCCCTGCCAGCCAGCTACAGATCGATGGACAAGAAAACCCAGATGTTCCCTGTGCGGGCTGTCCTGCATGCCCGGGCATGCCAGGGGCTCCAGAAGCGGGTGACTTTTGCAAGAGGCATGCTGTCCACGGGAGCAGCGTGGCAAGCCAGAGGAAGGGCAGAGAGGAAGGGCAGTCTGGGTCACCTGCCTGTCACATGAGAGAAAGCAGGAAAGCCAGAACGGCTCCGCCAAGTTCCCACCTGAGAGGACGCTGCCAGCCGCCAGGGACACCTGCTCAGGGTATGATTCATTCATTCAATCCACCTCATCTCAGCCTGACGCAGGGCTCGTTTGGCCCAGGACCGAGAGCTGAGAGGAGAGTAGGGAGCGGGGCACGTGGGGGGCCTCCTCCTCGGCTTCCAGGTGGGGGAGATGGGTCTTGGTGACCAAGGGGACCCAGTTGTTCTGCAAAAGGCAAAGCAGCCCCTGCGGCCACTCCACCTGGACACAAGCAGCTCAGAAGAGGCTTGGGGTAGGCAGCGAGGCGCCAAGGTCCCTAGACCTCTGTACGCAGTGGTCGAACTGTCTACATGCCACATCTGCACCGAGGGATGGCAGGGGTAGGACCCAGTGCTGGGGCTGCAGGAGGGTCCATGTGCGGATACAGATGGAGGGCCCCGCTCCAGGTGGCTTTGACAGCCCCCACATGGAGGTGAGCCCCCTGCAGCATCCCCCCCTAGCATTCTCCACCTGTTCTGGATTCTTCCCAGAAAGCAGGTCCCCACCCTCGGCTCTCCCCTCCCCGGGTCCCTTCCTATGTGGGCAGCACTGGAAGGTTTACTGGGCCCAATGGAGAACCACTGCATCTCCTGCAGGGTCTGGGGGAATCCAGGTGGGGAGCCCTTTCCCCGTGGCCCGCAGCTCCTGTCAAGCGCGTGTGGTCGAGTTCAGATCCCTCTGGGCCACATGCTCCCACGTCCCCTCTGGGGGTCACAGAGGGCGTTACTGAAAGCCAGCTCCCAGTGCCTGCTGAGCCAGGGCGAGGGCGCGAGAGGGACCGCCTGCGGGGTCGCCTCCCTGACCTAGAGATTCCCCCCGGGCTGTCCTCCCAGAGCGCCTAGTCCTCAGGGTGGGTGGGGCCTGTTGCCCACGCTGCATCTCGCTGTGTAGCCAGAGGGGGCTGTCCCTAGGACCACCTCTGAAAAGGCTTCCCTGGGGATGCTCCACGGAGCCCTGACCTGGAACAGTTCCTGGCCCCACAGTGGGGTCGGCATCAATGCCAGACTCCTGGCCTGCGAGGCCTTGCATGACCAGCTCCGACCCAGCTCCCCACTTCATCACGTGCTCTCCCCAGGATGCTCTCTGAATTTCAGCTCTATCCCTGTCCCTTTGCTCCTGGACCGCTGCATCCAAACTGGACTCTGGCCCGTTCTCCGTGACCACGGCTGCCTGTGGAGCCTATGGTTCTCCTCCAGGTCACGTCATTCATCTATCCAGGGGCTTATTTGATTATCTAAGGACAGGGAGCACATCCGGCTGTTCTGTGCCAGGAACCCCGTGCCCAGCACACAGTGGGTCCTCAGCCGAGTGGACCTGTAGTGACCACTCGCAGACCCCTTGGCCTCGGGTCTCCACCCGCTGGGTGACCGTGGGGCGCGGCCCCTGCCGCCTGCAGCCCCGACAGCGGCGGCCGCGTTTGCCCCCGGCCGTGGGCGGCCACGACGTGCACCCCGGCTCCGAGCTACGGAGGTGAGCTGACATTGTAGAAAAGGCGCCTCGGTGCAGAGGCTCCCGGAACGGGCACTTGCCCAGGCTGCCTGACCACCCGTCGTCATCGAAAAAGCCGGCTTTCCACCAAATCAGACGCTTGATGAGAATTGTGATGGGAGTCATCCTGTGTTTTGATGTGAGTTCAGGTGCAGTTTGGGCTGGGAGTGTTTTCGTAGTCAGAAGGCACAACCGTCCACCTCTGTCCCAGAGCCTCTTTCAACACTGCCCGCGATGGAGTAAAAACATGAATTTCCATCTTAATGCTCTTTGGAGGCGTCAGAGTCCTTCCAGATCTTGTTTTATGGTATTTTTAAAGCATTCGTCCTTCGCAACCCATTTTGAAAGGACAGTTGGAGGAGTAAAACCATTAGTAGGTCTGCTACCTATTTATTCTCCGGTGGAAACCAAGGCACGCCCGCAGAGCTTGCTGTTAAACACGACATTCCCACCTTGGGGCTGAAACGTTAAAACGGGGAGCGGCGGGATTTATTAACCCGGGCCTGATTAAAATGTCCAGCAGTAGTTAGTGCCTCAGCCTGACAGGGCTTGTGGACTCCGCACATCGGCGCCCTCCCTACACGTGGTGGGACCCAGGGGGCCAGCCCGTCCCACTGTGCGGCCAGCAGCTTGAGGGACCGTGATAGGTCATCGCCCTGGGTCTTGGGGAGAGAGCATCATCTGAGCCACACTTTGCGCTCCTGGAGGAAGGGGAGTTGTGAACGAAGGGAAGGTATAGTATGATTCATAGACCCTTTTTCTTCGTTGGCTTTCACCCCCCACCCACCCCCGACTTGAGTACAAGCTCCTCGAAGGCTGTGCTGTTCATGACTTTATCCCAAGTGCCTAACGGTGCTTGGCACAGCTAGGTGC